TATAATCACATGAAATGCAGCCTGATCAATGATGATGGTAGATGAATTGTAGTAGGAATTGTAGCATCAATCATATACAAGCTTCTAGCACTTCCTTTTCCATTAAGCCACACCCATTATGGGCAATACCAGTTATCTGAGCAAAAAGATTGTGTCAGCAGGGATCAAAGGTTCTGTCCCCCAGACAAACCATAATTGCAAAATGTTTTAACTTTTTGGATTAACTGACACAAAGTCTATGCCTACCGCTAGACAGGGCACATAAGTAATAAGTTACATAAAATAATTTTCTGTGTTACCTAATATAAGACAGAAGTATACTGAAAAATCTAATCCTACACACAAACAAGACTAAGGAGATCATCATAGACTACAAGAAAACAAAAGAGAAATACTGCTGTCCATTCCACATCCATGGTGAAGAAGTTGAACATGTAGGAGGCTCCTTGGGAGTCTATATAATGAATGATCTCACATGGTCTCTTAACACCTGATGGGGAAAGTCCAACAATATCTGCATTTCCTCAGGAAATTGAGATAGGCCCATGTTCCTCTACATCTCCCGACAAACATCTACTGCAGTACCTTAGAAAGCATTCTGGTCTTTGGATCAACTGTGTGGTGTGCAAGCGGCACAAATGAAGATCAGAACAAGCTACACTAGGTGGCAAAGGCTGCCCAGCAGATCATTGGAGCTGATCTCCCACACTTCTACAGTGTCTACTCCAACCGACTGAAGAAGACTGCTAGAACCATCACCAGGGCAATAAGATCCCAGAAAAATAGAATGAGAAACTCTTTATTTCACAAAGCTGTGTTGTCCATCTCCCTTCCCCACTCTGCAAACTGACCAACATGCCGCTTCTCTGGAAATATTGTAAATATTGTAAACTGTAAATACAGTTGCAAATTGCACGACTAAGAATATTGTAACTTATTTCATTGAGTATTTGTAGAATCCCCTCCTCAAATTGTTTACTGCTTCCTATATACTGTGTGTGTTCTGATATCACCATTTTGATAACATATATTTAATTTTTTACAATTTGCTGCGAAAGGAAGAGATGTTGACGAATTTTTTGTGATATGGAAGCATGATGATAGTAAAGCTTTCTTACCTTCTGATATTTTTATTATATGTACAAGCTAGCTAAAAGCTATTCTAATGATTTATGGGATTGATTGTACATTATGAAAGATATATCTTTTTTTGTTTCTATGTGTAGGACAGTTCAGTTGTGTCATTAGCGAGAATGTCATTCTGTCAGTAGCCATTAGTAGTTTTTCTGTTGACCTCTCCGACATACCGAGTGACATCATGTTTATCCTTATGAACCTGCATTAGCAATATTTGCAGCAGTCTATGGCAGATCCTCAGCCAATTTTTTTGAATTTGTGTACATTGTCTTTTGTTTTTGTCTGCAAAAGACCCATAGCTAGAAATAAATTTAGTGGGAGGTCCCCTTTGGTAGATGTTGCCAACCAGGGGGTTCTAAACCATAATTTTATTACCTGTCTACATGCCTGATGTGCAATGATATAATTTCTTTTGACGATTCAATGAAGCAATATCATACGAGAAGGAGTGCGGTTGTACTCCAAGATATAATGGCTGTGATTCGGTCATAGGCACGAGGCCGCAGGCCAAGTACAGCTGCACGACTTTGAGTATCAACGAGTAGTATTTATAAAGTAACAGTAATAAGATACAGCATATTTTGTTTATTTATTTAGACATTTACGGGCCTCCGCAAAAAATAAAAAATTCCCATAACATCAGCGAAAGTGGGATTGGCTATTGCATCCAGACCTTCCAAATACCCAGAAAATTCAGCCAATAACTAATATAACTTTGTCTAATATCGCCGATGCCATCAGGGAAACAACTAGCTAGCTTATTAGCAGAATAACTTGGCCTGGTAAATAAAGACCGTGACGCAGGTCTAATAAATAAAATATTGTGGTGCTAGAGTGGCAAAGAGATCGCGAGGCGGACAGCACATTTCCAGCTATTAACAGACTGTTTTATTGCACGATCCTTAAAAGGCCAGCAGTAAAACAACGAGCAAGAATAAGCAATAAACTGACACATAGATGGGGAGCCTTTAAAGAGACAAAAGTGGATACAGGCAATATAGACAGAGCCATTCGCTGAAAACTTTTTTTCGGGTTGGCATCTTATAAAAACTTATAATCCAAAACAGATCAAGATAAATCCAACAAGATGAAGGGGTACATATGAACCTTTACTTTACTTTCACTTCTGCCTACGTTCATTTTTGAAACCGGTGGAAACTTGGGGAGATTCTCAAAGGCACCAAGTGAGAACCAGCCCAGCACCGGCTGCGTGTTGGTGGAAATGAGGCGTATGTGATGCGGAGTGATACAGCTGATGTGAAATGTCCACGTGCAGTTATACCCTGGTATACATTAGAATGCCTCTTACCCAGTCAGATTTCTTGGTCAGAATTAATTGTTGTATAATGGTCTATTAATAAAGATGTAATTTCAAATGAATACACAACATTACATTGTAAGGAATTTCATTATCTCGGGGTGACCTTGCTTTAGTTTTTATGAAACTATGCGCCACAACAGCTGTGTGTAATTATGTATCAATTCTTTATTTACAATGCATATTGCTTTTATAAAATTTTACCCTTCTTTGGTTGAGTTGATTTCAGTTCTAGTGTGACTACATACGACACAACATCGCTAATAGTGTCATAATTTATTTTCTTAATTGTAACAGCCTCGTGCAGCTAGTGTTTTAATATCTAGTGATATCACAGTTATCCTGATAGCGGACAAAAGTATCAGTCAAAAAATGGAGTATTCATTGCTATATGTCTATAATCTTTGATGTGCCTCATTTTCTCTCTATTATGAAATTCTAATGTCACTTGAACGCATCCCATCAACTCTTTCTTCAGAATCCCCAGTTGATAAAATTACCGTTAGGTGCATTGAACAACAGCTGATCCACTTTCCTTTTTCACTGCGGTACTCTAGTGCTTTAGTGATTATCGCTTCTCATTGTGAGTGAATATTTATGTGCTTGTTGCCAACACTAGCCCATTAGCTGTGGTGCTGCACAATGATATTGCATTAAGCTGCTCAAAGCACTCACTTCAGAGTGTGTTATGCTTCAAAACCAGTTTTCAAGAGGGCCTGATCTACAGCTTAATGTTGATTACTTCATTCAAAGTATAATTTTCATGCTTACATAAACAGTGTATGTTCCTGTCTCAGTGGCTGAAAGACAGTGATTACTCTCTTACACACTGCAAGCAAGTATTCATTTTGAATGTGGTCTTTCCAGCTCTGGTTTGGAGATTTGAAGTCAGTTGTAATCACTTCCTCTGCATTTATATTTTTCGGCGTGCTGCTTCTGGGATAATGCTTGGCCTTGTCTATTTTTTTTTTATCAGGTTGACACTGTGACAGAAACTTGCCATCTTCCCAGATGGACTTTAGGGTATATTCACACTGGTAGCTAAAATTGCTAGGAAACTGCTTGAAATGCAATTTTGTGTGTGGTGGCCTGTCTTCAGTATGTATACTTGGTGTGCAATAGTAATATAAATAAAACAACAACCATTAAGAACTACACACAGATTCTCCCTGCACATTTCTGCCATTCAATGTTGCTCCCCAGTATAACAGTAAGACTCCACGACCCATTACCCGGAGAAGATTCTCAGTATATTTTACGTTTCTTGTCAAGATTCTGGTAGCTTCTACCCATAAAATCATGGAGCCTTGTAGTAGAAACTGATAGCAGTTAAAGTTTTTCCACACGTATAATGTTCTGCTTCTCTTTTCTGCACTCCTCTGTCTTTGTAAGGAGCAGCCAAACTACGGGTTGGAGGTAAACTTCTTCACTGGGTACTGTACCTGAAACTTCTGTCTTATTGATGTTAGTGCCTGGAATTATGAGCTAAATGTCAATAAGTGTCTATTTTTTTAATCACCCTTGTTTTACTTTGCAGTAGAACAAAAACTTCCAGGTAAATTTATCGAATCAAATGCACCATGTGCTGCTATCCTATAATATGTGTCATTTCTACTATAACTCTTCATAAGAGCTGTATTTTTAATTATTAGCCTTGTGCCCTGTTCAACTTTAATTAAATTGCCCCTTGCTGCACACTGATAAATTCCTAGGGAAGGCGTACTTGTGTTTTGTTGTGTTGCACAGTAAGGGACCCGTGAGCTCTTATCTTTCAGTGAACAGTTTCGTCCTTTATAAATAATACGCTGCTTCCCCTCTGTCAACATGATGATATAGGGTTGCAGTGACTCACTCTGTTTTCTCTTGTACCTCTGGGAGTAATATTGAAAGGTTTGTGAAATTCCCCTAACCCCTCTTCCCCATCACTGTTAATTCATTCTTACTTTTAAATTACAGCGATGGGAATGTATGAAGGGATCTCAGAGGTTAAGAATGTGATCTGGAAGTATTTATGCGATGCTGAAAGTTCCTGGAAATGCTGGTAGTCCGACCCAGTGTTCACGTCAAACATCGATGGACTTGGTAGCTTGAAATGCTACAGTTAATAACACAAAGTTTTTCACCAGCAAATTAACTTCGGGGGGCCTAGATCCTTTCTTAAATAGCGTAAGATACAAGGCAGGGCTACACCCAAGATGGGATGCCAAACATGTTCAGACTCATTCATCAATTATTCCAACTTCTACCTGCTTATCCTATGCAGGGTTAGAGGAACCTCAGACCTATAAGCATCAAAATAAATTGATTATTACACAATCCAGGTAACAGAGAAAACTATTTTTTTTTGTAATGAAAGGGACCTCTTTCATTCTAAGCATCCTTCATCATTTACAAAGAAGAGTGAATACATAAGGATTGTCAACAAGTCTCTTTTAAACAGGCTAAAGCTCTTGTGAATCTTTAAAGCCAATCCAATAATGCTCTAGGAAGGAAATCAATCTCTGCGTCTCAAGGATTTATTCTGTTCTTCTTCTGTTTGTCACAGAAAACAAGCTTCCTCCACGAGGCCCTTTTTCCTGATGATTCATCAGCAGAACTCTTGGATCCCTTCTCCGGCTTATATGAGACGGTTGCTAAGGTAAAATAATTGCTTTCTCACAGCCCAGATCACTCAGTATATTTACATGGGTTCAGCTATAATCCACCCATTAACTGTTTGTTTTTACTAATTACAAGAGGATCTGGCAAGAAATGTGTCAAGACCTCGACAGATGCTTGTTAATTTGTCAGTGTTTATTTCCGAAAACTGAAATGATCTGTTATGGTCTTGCATCAGTAAACTCATTTAATAGTATTATGATTAGTTTGTCACACAGTCTATAACTTCCATTCTACAGTGTATTATTAAAGTAAATTCTATAAGATTCTTAAATTTAATTTAATATATAATTCACTCTTGCGTATGTAGTCACATTTATCATTGTTTATATCTACTAATTTCTAATGTAGCAGTGGTCTAAGACATTTGCAGTCAATCACAACACAATGTCATTCTACCCCCCCCCCCCCAATGGGCCAAATACTCAACTGGTAAATTCAGTACATACATTTTGTAATTGTATGTTAGGGAGGAAGCAAGAAGTTTGAGCTTTGAGGCATTTTAGGGGTCCTAGCAGTGAAGCTGATGGAAGGCTGCTGTTTTTCTTGGAATCAGTTGTGTTCGTTCCGCTGCCCTTCAGACAATTCCCCAAAAGGTTTTTCTTAGCCTCTTGTAGAAAGTTTTCTTGTTTTTTCTTGATAGATGCCTAAGATTTCTGGAATCTCATTTTAACAGGTATGTTTAACAGGTATTTCCACCTTTGTGAAAAAAGCCTCCTATCAGAATTGCAAACAAACTCCCATGGCTGTGGAATAGACACATCAGTTATCTCTTTTATTGGCACTGGGACAGGACAGTTAAGGCATCAATATGGTGGGGAAACAGGGTGAGAAATAACAGAAAAGAGGAAAAAAAGACTCCAGGAATGTGTGCTGGGGAGTAAGAGTTGGAAACAGTAAGGTGTTGGGGTCAACGCAAGTTTACTGGGGTGACAGAGATGAAAAACCTAGAGTGTAAAGCATTTATATTGGTCAAAGAAACGAGGAATAAGTAGAATCCGATGTAGCAGTCATTGTCACCTGACCGTGCCCCTTCCGAGACACATCCCACCAGTCTCAAAGACCCAGTCAGTTTTCTCCAAATATGATCACTCTGACTTCATCGTAACCCATTTTTGATATGTTCTCTCTGCCCGTTCCTTTCTTTACTGCTTCTAAAAGATCCCTAGATGACATATATGGTGTCTGTGTCTAGATTTTTCCCTGAACTGCTAGCGGAATGTGAAATACAAGGTGAACAATAAAGGGATTTTAATATACATATAGATGTCCAAACAAATATATCTGTATGATTGGCACAGGATATCACTGTATTATAAGTAAGTGGCTGAAAGAGTGTAACTGACGGAAGCATGAGAGCAAAACAAAAGCAGATTAACACAAATGCTGCTATAGGTTGTGCAGCAGAACTTGAAAGTTGGTGACTTAATTTATCAGACTGTGTTTTAAACCTTCTGAGAGCTCTGCTTCTGTCTCTGCCCCGCAGGCAACAGGACTAGCCCTGTCGTCCTTGTAGTTCTCATTAGGCAGATGAGTACCAGATGTGTGATATTGGCACCAAGACAGAGGGGGGAGTACAGTGCACCTAGTTCAACTCTGTACGATCTTTTCATCTGAGAAGAATTGAAGCACTGCAAAATATAAAAAGATTTCAGAATCAGCCATCATGTTTTTCTCAGGGACTGAAGATAGTCAGTATATATTTAATTTAAAAGAAGAAATTTTACCCGTGATAAAATCCAGACCATGCTTGAGCTTCCCGGCATCATTCACGCTGTTGTTGCGTTACTTTAATGCTAAAGCAGACCATCCAGAGCGTCTACCTCCACCTCCTTACAGAGGAAAGTGATTTTCCCTCCGACACAGCTGGGAGGACACTGACAGCCTTCTGCGGATTCTCTCTGAATCTTAATTTGCCAGCTGGTTGCTAGTGTCAGGCTCTAGGGAAAATCCTGTTGGTCAGCAACGACCTCAGTCCTCCCTCCCAAACAGCGCCATCCCTCTAGGCCAAAGTCACCCATCAGGGGATCCGGCCATACCAACGTGAGCCAGGGGGGGTACCGCTCACGTGCCACTTAATTAATGGGCGGCGGCCCCTCCTTCCGTCTCCCCCCCCCACTGATTGCTGGGTCTAAAGGCTCAGGCCCGACAGCTTATTTTTCATGCTACCTGCTCTTTGTCTTTAGAACAGCGGCTTGCATAGCTGAGAAGGAAGGATTTTCTGTCAAGGAACCTATAGTCATGCAAGTAGAAGAAATAGAATTTTCAATAAAAAATTATATTTAAGCATTTTGTGTGTTTGTGGGTTGAATTTAAGAGGCCTTAATTATTTGAGTTAAAAGACATAAATCATAAATAGGACACTGAAAATTAAGAAAAAACTAGGTTATTTTTTTCATATTAATTATTAACAACTAATTTAAAAAAATCTTTATAACTGTGTGGAATGGTATTTTTAATATTGCTAAAGTCACCTTATGAGTGACTAAATTAGTAAATGAATCAAAAAGTAATATGATGCACATGCACTTAATAGAGCTTCATTGTACTTAATAATAATTATTAATTTCTTTTCAAATAGTGTGTTTTAATGAATATATTAAGTGGACTTGTACACAGAATCAGTCAATCTACCCCATCATTAAGAATTATCACATGTTTATAAGTACATAGATTCGGCACAAGTTTGTCAGTTTTTGTGTTTTCCGGATTAGCTCAGTGGTCACAATTACATTTTTGGAATTTTATTAAATTTCAAATGGTGTCACAGCACAACAAAATCACTATACTTAAAAACAAGGGAAAAAGTTCTCTTTCAAATAATTCTGTGCCCTTCTGTCAAAGACAAACACAAGCATACTTGTGGACCTATACTACCATAGACAGTAACACACAACTGTAGCAGTCACAATACTGTCTGAGTCACTTTGAAGAGGGGAGTCTTTTTGAGCTACCTAGATCCCCTGGGATTTCTCAAAACTGGATGGACAGCTTCTCGGTCCAAAAGGATTCAGAAGGAATGAGAAATGATACCAAACTCTGCCAGACCTGCCAGATCATGCCTTAAAAAACAAAACACACGGTCATTTATTTTTTTGCTTTAACTCCTTTAGGAACTATACATTTAACCAGTACATTGGAATGGATCTGCCACATCATTTAGTACATTCATTAGTAACACTTTCTATAAATGCCATGTCTATAAGAATCTGTGACCACATTCATAACACATTATAAAGCATTCATGAAGCATTATAAACATGGCTAAAAATATTTATTTAAAAAGGCATAAAACATTATAGCCATGTGTATTATACATTATGAATGTTTTATAAAGCTCTCTTCTATAATGCACTATAAATACTTGCAGTAATGCAGTGCAAAGCATCCTTAATTCTTATCCCGACCATTATAATGCATTATGATTGTATCTATAGTACAATACATGCAGAAAAGAGCTTCACTGGGGTTCATGAATCATTATAATCAACACTATAATGTTAATAACCTGTCAATAGAAGATGTAATGCTTTATTAATTCTTATACCGACCATTATAAATGAATTATGAAGGTCTATCTATAATGCACTGTAGATGACAGGTTCAAGTAAAGTGTTACCCCCTATTTCCATATAAAACATGAGTTTTAAAATATAATTTATTTAAATAAGGTACTTCTGGACAGGGATGTATCACTGTAATAAATTGTGAGCTTTGCTTCTCCACAAAACCTTCTGTGATGTAGCAGATCAGGGTGGATACAGTTAGGAGGTACTTTCTGTATATACTGTATATTTCTATCCCACCCTAGTGCAAATGTATAATGGTCAGATGAATTAGCTCTAAACTGACCTTATCATTTACCTGCCTGTGTCTCCTTCATCGGCTGATGTCCAGTGCAGGGAATGATCCGCCTAACGGAATATGTTTCTGCCAAGAGACTTTGCCTCCTCTGATTACACAGCATAACCAGTTATTTAAAATACATAGGTTATTATGCACCCCATTGTATACAGGTATGTTATATTTATAGATTTATTCAACCTACTTCCAAACTCTTTTATTGAGTTATTTATGAATTGAGAATTGAGAAATAAAGTTTTCATTTAACATGTATTATATTCATATTTTTCTCTGTGGAGATGTAAACTCGAGGCACCGTGTTGGTGCAGTGGCTAGCACAGCTGCTTCACACCGCTGCAGACCAGGCTTCAAATCTCTGTGTAGCGTTTGCATGTTCTGCCCATGTTTGCATGTGTGAGTGAATGGTGTATGAGTGTGCCCTGAGAGAGATCCCCCCCCCCACCCCCTGCAACCCTCAATAGGGCGAGCAGGTACTGATAATGGATGAAAACGTAAACCAAGCAAGTTGCAGCGATTTAGCTGTGGACTAAATAACGTGATGAATGAGTCTCCTGCTGTTTTTTTGACAGATGTGGGCAGAATATGGACCCGTACAGGTTTTATAAGCATGAAACCTTAAAATAGCACCATCCATCCATCCATCGTTTTATGTCTTGTCTTGGTCAGGGACACTAGACTGGGTTATGTCCTAGACAGGATGCCAGTCCTTCACAGGACATGCACACTCTGGGCCATTTACCAATGCCAATTAGCCTAATTACATGCCTTTGTGAGACTGTGGGAGGAAACCAACATGACACAAGGGGAACATGCACATCCCATTAATATAAACTGGAGGTGGGATTTGAACCCTTGACGTGTGAGGCACCAGTGCAACCCGCAGAGCCACATTAACAACAGATTAGTTTGATCTCCTAAAATTCAGCATAATTTCAGTTTGCTCCCCACGCAGTCTATTAATGTATCAGTACAATCCCATGTTAGAAATGTATTCAATTTTTAAAAAGTACAGCTTGATTCTAAATTAAATCTGTTCTAATCATTCATAGTTGCCTTTGAATATGAATTATATGAATTGGAATATGGAAGTTGCCAATTGTGTACTTATCGTAGGAA